CAGCGGAGACAACCCCCATCCCCCTGCGCTGCTCGGGGGGAGGAGGAGAGAAAATGGGGAGTGAAGTTGAGCCTGGGACGAGGGGTGGGGTGGGGAGAAGGTGTTTTAAGATTTAGTTTTATTTCTCATTACCCTACTCAGTTTTGACTGGTAATAAATTAAACTGATTTTTCCCCAAGTTGAGTCTGTTTTGCCCATGACGGTAATTGCTGAGTGATCTCTCCCTGTCCTTATCTCGACCCATGAGCTTTTCATTATATCTTCTGTCCCCTGTCCAGTTGAGAAGGGGAGTGATCAAGCAGCTTTGGTGGGCACTTGGCATCCAGCCAGGGTCAACCCTCCACAGCATGAGACCACAGTCTCAGGCTGTGCAGACTTTGAAGTACAATCAACAGCATATCAGAGCAATTTATTCCAATATCATAATATAGACATCTTTAAAGTTGGTTTGGTTTTAGGGGGGGTTGGGTTTGTTTTTTTTTTTTTTTTTAAGAACCATCAACTTTAGCTTTAATGAAAAATCAGTTGGCTCTTGAAAGACAATGATCGATACTACAAAGCATCTTGCAATCTTTCATTCTGTACATTATGACAATACAAAAGACCTAGAAAACAGCAATTGTTACAACTGATCAATTTTTGAACAAGAGCAAAAGATCTTCTTGGATGAATTTGACCTTTTATTTGAAAGTTCTGAAGATTCTTAGGTACTTGACTGTAAAAGCATCAGGTTAGGATATAGGCACAAGCAACAGTTTGTTTTGCTTTAGAGCTATAGCACAGCTTTTCTATAAGCTCTTCTCTGTCTGTAGGTGATTGGGGGGGCTATTTTGGGGGTTTTTTCCCCTAGTGCTTTACAAAAAGACATACTGCATCCATGTTAAACACAGACATTACTCCTTTATATAACAACTCATTTATTACATCTGCTTAAAGATTAAGTGCTATTAAAAATTGCAGAACAACTTCAGTCAATACTATACCATTAAGCCTGCTGAAATGAATTGTTTCACTGCGTTGTCACAACATAGAGGAAATGAAATCTCCACTACAATGAACTAGCTCTTCCCCCATGGTACAGGAGCACAAGCAGTTTAATTTAGACAGCTTTAATGGTGGCTTTAAAGCCAGAACAATCAAGTGCAGGAAATAACAGGCTAAACTCAGTCCTGAACTAACGTGGTGATAAACGTTACTCACTGGGTGTAAATCTAGGCAGAAAGGTATTGGAGGCAAGACAGGAGTTGAAGTGATTTGGCATGAAATTCTCCTGGTTTGTACATGTACCTAATTCCACTAACATAACGTACAAAGATTGAGAAGAAGCATGCCTTGGTATTCACTACATGAGGACTGTTACGATCCATTTAATGGGTATATGAAGGTAGAGGGAACAGTACAAAAAGGCAAATGGCAAAGCACGCCTTTGCACTTATTTGGACCAATGCACAGTCAGATTGTAACAAATTGCAGGATGTAATGTAAAGTAGCTCAGTTAATTTTATAACTCACTTCAAGCCTTTTAAAAAGCAGGATATTACTTTCCCTATTAAGGTACCATTACCACTTGCAAAATTCTCATTTGACACTAAGGGAAATGAGACCATACAGTACAAAAACAACCTTTGCTATACAGGAGGGTAAACTACCTGCCCACTACTTTACAAGGAAGTATTGTTGCCAAATTAGTCCATTCTGGAATTAAAAACAACATTATTTGTTCAGAAATTAATCTGAAACCAGGTGCAAACAGATCTAATGCCCCTTTAGATGCTAAACATCTAGCTCATCTCTTGTGAATTTAGAAAGGTAAATATTATTCCTATATATGTATAAGTATAAACAAAAAATATTTGCCTTCCTGCAGTAAAAGCTTTTGATTTTCTGAGTAAGAGAGGAGCAATGGTTTGAAGGTTAGGTCACCTAGCTGATAGGGCCTGAAACATAATGACCTCTTTGACACAGAGTTTCCATCTAGGAAAAGCACTTGGCCTCTTTCTTACTCAAATCACACAAACTACCTCTAGTCGGCAGTACTCACAGGGGTGTTGCACGCAAAACAGAGGAAAGCTCAAGAGGTACATAGATACTACAGTAACAGAGACCATCTTGAACCAAGGACGGACCCATGGCAACATGAGCCAAATGCTGACAGCTCCACTGCCCGCTTCTGCTCTGGTACCTTTCCACACATTACCAAGACTTGACCCAGAGGCAGACAGCAAAAAACCTGTAGAGGACAAGTTTGCTGCAGAACAATGTTGACAAAAGTCATTCCACCAGAAGAGGCACACAAAGACATAGTTCAAAACCAGCTTCTCTGCATGAGTCTCCTCTTTGATCAAATCACTGCTTTGATAGTGAATTAAAATGCAGAGTGTATGTGAAAAAAGCTGCAATATTTTCTTAACTTCTACTAAGTTCTCAGTATGTACCTACAGCTAGAGCCCCCTGAATCAAAACTGTGCATTTCCCATCTGAAGACAGCCAGACTGCTGTGGCTCCATCCCCCAAAAGCCTTCTCAAAGCTATGCTTTACTGCAATGCAGAACTAAAGCTTTTTTTCTCCAGGCAACTCTCTGAAGGACAGCAGGATCTGACCTTATTACATACTCTCTAGAACACATCTTGCTTTTGGTATAAAACGTCACAGAATTTTCAATCTACCACATACGGGGTTTTTTTCTTCATCCCTGCTGACTATTGCATACCTGCACTCTAAAACAAACCCGCAAACTACAGAAACAAATGTCCTGCCTGATTATTTATCATCCTATTTATGCAGCCCCATCCCTATGCAAGAGTCACCCAAGCAATGAAAGACAAAAGCACAAACAAATGAAAAATGGATGAGCTCCAAGGTTCCTTTAGGAAGGCTTAATTTCTCATCTTTGCTGAAGACAACTTCTGTTCTTCACAGCATTTAAAGAAAAAGAGCAGACAACTTCAAAACCCAATGGCTTCTCTGGTATCTGCACACCACAGACCTCAGCAAGTCCATTCTTGCCCCATGTTTGGAATTTCAGCTGACAACAGTGAAGACTTCTTGTGTGGAACAAATAAGGAACAGGAGGAAAGTCCTATCCATAACCAGGCTCTGTGAGCAGTATCTCAGCCTGGAGTACGCTTGTTTTGAAATGTTCCCTCTTTTGACCCCTCTCTCACCACTCCCCTTACATTTGAATTCTGGAGGCAGTCAGGCCAGCACCCTCAAAGCCACAGCCTGAGCTGAGCACCTGGGAAGCAAGCGTAGTGAGGACAAGCCCCTTTCTCCATGCAGAGGCTCTCTCGCCCATCTTCTGGTGTTCTTTAACCCAGAAAACAGAGCTCCAGCAGCCTCACTCAGCTCCACTAGCCCCAGCCCATTACATAGCAGTCCCTTCTGCATACTGAAAATAATACCTGTCAAATTCTGGGACAAAAGGGGTTTCTGGTTTTTACCTCTATCTCAAATACACAACTAACAAGCAGAATTTATTTTTCTTTCCTAGGTCTCAAAATCAGCACTAAGACTGTTGATTAAATTCCAGCCTTTAAATCTTTACTGCCTGAGATCACAAGAAAAGACAGAGCAGCACTTGACTCTCAGCTCCTATGGGCAGTGCAGGGTGATTAGCATTTACTTAAAAAAAATAATCTGTTTACTTGTAACCTAAACAGATTTTCTCCCAAGTCTCTGAGATTTGGCAGACATGGAATCCGATATGACCCTTTTTTATGATGCAGAACTGCAACTGGCCCCTAAATACCCACAATAAGAGCTGGATTAAATTCACAGGTATCACATTGCAAATATAAAACTTTGGCACAGGTCTGGTGCAAAAAGTGACCAGAGGAATATCTAAAAAGCACAGAAAGAGGAATCTAAACTTCCCTCTAGCTGTTGCAATCCTCTCAAGAAGCCCGAAACAGAAAAACAATTACATGAAAAAATACAAAAGGTAGATCTGAGGCAAATGGGCACAATTCACCCACACTTTTGAGGCAAGCCTGTGAAACTTTTCCCTAAGAAGGGAAATATAGAAGTAGTTTGTGAAGTACTCAGTTAAACAGTGATTTTTGTCAGGGATGGAGACAACATATTTGATCATCTTTGCATGTGTTATTTCTCTACTCTTCATATTCACATCAATTAAGTGAACAAGGATCAAACCCACTGTTGGTCTTTATGTGAACAAAGCACCTAGCAGTGTGGTGGTAGCACAGGAAACAATAAACAGACTGTAGGCTTTCTGCTGACTTAAGTTTAATAAAAGAGCTGATCCTTCCTGAAAAAAAATCAAAACTATTATTATTCAGAAAGCGACAACACTGAAAGGTATTACAGCATAATACTATACTGAGAGTTCATCACTATACTGTTCAATTCAATTGCTACCTCAGAAACACAAGATATGAGCAAGCCCGTATTCACAGCCTTTTTTATTATTATTCTGTCCAAGAAACAACTGAGGCAGGAAGAATAAGCAATGTAAGAGAGACTAAAAGCATTCTTTAGTGCAGTAAACCCCGATACACGTGTCACTAAGACTGAAATTTCATTTCTATTTCTTGTTGTATTAACAGCTCCGGACATCTGATGTCCCCAAAATTACTTAATTCCCAATTTCTCACAGGCATGAGTGTCTATCTTACATAGATACATCCCACTGCTTCACCTGTCCCTAACCAAGCACTTAATGCTGAAGTGAGGCACTGAATTTTGCCATCGACTTCATTTTACTCAAAAATAGATATATATTTCTTTTTTTAACTAAAAGGACATAATTATATTCTCTCATCCAGATAAAACATGAAAGAAAACCCAGTTAGAAATTTCAGACTCTTAAATCTATAGAGAACATTTCCAACAACATGACCTCTGGTGAATTTCTTGGACAGGACAGAGCTCTGGCAAAAGCAGGTCAAACCCCACTGATGCAAGGGGAGTTGTATTCATTACTACTAGGCTGAATTTGAACCATTGTGCAATTAAAAAGAAAGTAAAGTGCAACATTAGAGGAGTTTCATTGTCACCGAGATAGTTAACACTCACTTAATGTGGAGTCCTACCCCCAGGCTTCAGACAGATTTAAAGCTCTGTATTTAAAAATAAGCACTGCTTTGAACCAAGACAATAAAGAAGCCATTAGAAAAAAGTCTATTAAACACTTACCAGGAAACCTGCTATGGAGGTTAGCATCACAGTTGTATCCATTGAACTGAGCAGCCACTGAAAGCACTTTAATCGTCAGCAGGAGCAGTAACCATACCTGTTCCATTGCAAAACCTAGCAAAACATTAGGTGGTTATTACACACATCTGTTCATTGCGTTAAAGATGCTTACTGCAGACATTTAACCACTCGGGAGGTGATGGTCTCCAGCAAAGGAATTGGGGATAAAGCTCACAAGCTTATGGGAAAGAGGCCACAGGCAGCAGGGCTCATTTCTCTACTTCTGAGTAATGTGCAATTTCTATTAACTTCTACAGCTTTTAATCATAACTTGTGGCAAAAAGGTACTCAAGGATGATATAAAAGAAAAAAAAAATCCCTAAAATATATCGATAGATTAGGATTGCTTAAATATTTAAACTCCAACAGCTTTTTTGACATTTCAGTCTAAAAATTCTTTGAGAAAGACATCTTAGAACAATAGTTTTATTTTAGCCAAGTCCTGAAAACCATACAGATAAATGGCTTGCTGAGCAATTCTCAGGCTCAAGGTCCTAGAATAAAAATCAGTTTGTATCTGTCTGCCAAAAATCTGTTCTTTGAAGCATGCATGCAATTGCATTGAACTCATGTACAGAGTTGGCACAGATGCTTGCATCTACTTGAATTGCATCTGGCAACCAGACCAGGAGATCAGAACACATGAATATCTAGTGTCTTGAGTAATTATTCCTCTTGGGAGAAAAACTCCAAGGTGTAATACCTGTGATATTTGGCACAACCCAAAAAATATCTGATTCATGCTTTTGTCAAAAATATCCCAAAATATTGAGGTTTTTGTCCATGAATCCAAGTGCTACTGAATTTTTTTCATTTATTTATAAGATTTTTTTTTTTAATCATAGAAAATATCTCTTCTGATGGGGACCTCAAATGTAGCAATGCTCTCCATTTGCCTAGACAGGAACTGAGCAATTCTAAGATTTAGGAGGCTTGCTTTCTCTAAGACTATAGATACAGAGATGCTGATCATCACCTTTCTCAGGTGGATATCAGACATTTGTAAAGTCCATAGATGCAGCACACCTAAATGCAGCCATATCTGGCATAGCAAGTGGCTGTCATGCATTGTTGAGAAGAGCTAGCACAGCACACTGAGACAATATTTGAGACAAACCCTCACTCTTAACTGGATCTTTCATGGCTACACAGCAGTCTTAGCTAAAGTCTGCTCAAATTAAGAGCTTCCACTAGTTTTCAAACCAGGCTCACGGAGTACACAAACCCAGAATTTAAAGCTTTGTGTTGAAAGACAGACCCATAGGGGACACTCCCAAGTGCTCCTTGTTAGCAAACAAACCAACTGCAACAAAGCACTGAGCCGAACTCTACTAAAAAGTCAAATGGATGTCCAAATGTCCGGCCATTCACTCCTGTGTAATTCTGCTTGGAATTACATGGAATAAAAATGAAGAATTGGAAACGCCAGCTTCCTGCTAAGCATGCATGTTTTGTAAGTCAGGTATAACTTTTGCAATCACATCCAAAAGCAGTTTTGCTAGCAAGTTCTGCACAACTTCCTCAAAGTGTGACCTATAGCAACAATGCAACCTCCTTTTAGTTTCAGGTGGATACAACACTCTAAATGAAAGCACTCTTTGACCCTCTACTCCTTTTCCATCAGATTCCTGTGGACATTGACAGCACTTGTAGCTAATGCTGATGAAGAATTGTGAAAACGTAAGAAAGAAAATTCCTAACTGGTTTGCTATGAAACCTCTGTATTTTCATAATGTCCTCACCCTCTCCATTATTCTCAGATGGAGAAGTAAGGTGGTAGTTTTTTTGTTTACTATGCAAATTCACATTTTATTTTGAAAGAAACATTTTTTTCCTTTGGAAAATTGGCATTTTTCCAGCATACTGGAGCCTTACCTCTGCTTGTACAACATTACATCGATAAAGTGGCTATTACTGTTCTGTTGTATATGAGCTGGTTTCTGATGTCCATTACAATAGCATAAATCAAGGGCAATTTACCAAGATCTAAATCTGACTTCAATTTTCTAACTGCCACAGTATTTTTTGCTACCAAAAAAACTGTTTGAAAAAGAATTCAATGAAAGATTACACTGACAAAGCTGTAGCTATTATTTTAGATGAAAAGCAGAACTTACAATAAATTCTAAAATTTTAATTATTAAACTTAACTTCTGCTGCTGTGTTTCAGAGGAAGGAGAGATGATTGCTAAGGAACAAAGCTGAATTAAGACATTAAGTATTTATGGCATTAGTTCTCTAGCTGTATTCAGAACAAGTCAGACTTTAAGCACAACCAATAACGTCCTACTTGCTTTCTGGCTATTGACTCATCTGCATAAGGATCAACATGCAGATCCACATCACCAGTTGAGCAGACCACTGATGATTTCAGCTAAACAAGTTAGGAACACACATTATTTTTCATTTCCCAAGAGAATTGCAGGGCTAGAAAGCACCCTGAGAAGCCAACCTCACCTATCTGCCCACTCCAGCAAGAATCAAGGCAACCATTCCTTCTTTTCCAGCCTGTTCTTAAAGGCCTCTGGCAATTTATTTCTCAACAGAAGTTTCTAAAACTTCAGTCCCCCAAATGTATAAGGCATCCTAACCTAAGCCTAGGCCTAAAAGGCATGTACCATACTGATACTGCTGAACATTTCATCCAATTAAAGAGGAAAGCATAAAAGCTTTATCAAAATAGTAACAGGAACATCATAATCTTATTTCCTGTACATGAATATGAAATGAAAATTCTATGTACAAAAAAAGGAAGGTAATATGCAAGCAGCAGGAATTTTTTATAACCCAGGATTCACCAAATTCACATGGAAGATATTTGCCTTTTTTCTTCAACTTAGTATGCAATTCTTTAAGCCTTTTTCAAGGAATATGGCTCTTGGTGCTTTCCAGAAAAAGTGCTTCTTTGGTCTAGTAGCAAAGATATTTGGCTGTTAAGACGACTTTCATGATTCCAAAGATGTTAACACATATTGCAAGGGAAATGTGATCCTTTATCTATGAAACTCTTAACTGACAAACCCATACCAGGTTTCACTGATGTACCCAGACTTCTCTTCTATGTTATTCAGACCTAACCTCTGGTTTTCTCTGCTGAGCATCTTCAAGGATCTTTAAATGTTTACATGATTTACCACTTTTTGTTTATGGCATTCACAGTGTAGTACTTAGTCTCACTGAAATACCCGAATCGCCTCAAAAAATCCTGTCATAGTCACTTAATTTTACTTCCAAATGTTTCTGCCTCCACCCATCCAGCTAAGGATCTCTTCCGAACAAGGTCTGGTATTTTCTGTTTAGCAAGGGAACCATTTTTCCCCTTGACTTGGTACTGCAGGAGGGGGGTGGAGGTAAAAATCCATGTGCAGGACTGCCATTAACACAAAAAGAAGTTCACATGACAACTCTCTCAAACATTACTAGAGCAAAAGAGCTTTAAAGGCCAGGTATAGACAAAGAGACAGACAGGAATTTAAAGACCTATGAAACATGGTTAATTAAATCATTTCAGAGGCCATGATTCACATAGATTTCTAAAACAGTCAATTCAAAGGAAAAACAGCCCAACATATCCAGGTTTCAATATGATAAAATTAGAGTAAACTTCCAGAATGCTGAAATAGTCAGGATATGAATCTCTGCTGACCCAGAGTTGTCTATGTATTCAGCACTGAGTCACAACTGCAGGCCTTACTGTTCTGTGCTGCATATCATTGAAGAGCACAAAGAGGTAAGAGTTGCAACACGCAGTCCTCAATTTAATTGTTACCATTTTACAAAGCCCTTATCCCTGCTTTCATAAACTTCACCATGTCAGGAAAACAGCAGAAAATTTCAAAGTAAAGATGTTTATGATTTAAACAAAAGCCATTTTGCATTCAATTTAGGAATTTAGTTTCATGGAGAAGCAGTGGTTTGACCTATCTAGATTCCCTGTTCTTTTCTTTCATCACCCAACATTGATTTCTCTTCTTCACCCATCCTCTAAAAAGATCTTAAAAAATTTTCCATTGTGAACAGCATTCACTGATTCAGCCCTACATTTTTATTGAAATTCATTTGTGAGCCAGTTCTGACTTCTGAGTATATTATTTATTTCAAATATTCATTCTGTATTTTATAAGAGCATCCTATAATCTACTGCTTGTTCTCTATTTTTCATTCACACGGTGTGGCAGTTCTGCAAAATAATATGGTGATCTTTATGCCTTTTGACTGGGTAAGTCTTTCAAAAAAACAGTTAATAGTAATAATGAAAAATTCTGAAAGAAAATTATAGATGTGATAAGCACATAATAAAGCTGGTGGAACATTTATAAGTGTTTTCATGCATATCTAGTAACTGCCTAAATGCTCTCTAGCATTGTACATTAGGTGTCTATAAGTAATGGAATATAAACATCACTAGTTTTACTCATAAAAATATTTTAAAATTATCATTATATAGTTCAATGAGTACTTCTCAGTCATCTCATGACAAAACACTTCCTTAGCTTTTTGGTTTACATTTGTCATACTGCCACACTTTCTTCTGCATCCGCACTCAAACTGTGAACAGTTGTGAAGTGCATTAACTGTACCGCTGTCAGGTGTTCCAAAACCACTTTGCTTCTTGACATGTATTAGATCGTTTGCCATCATTTAAAAGTAAGCCAGTGAACAAAAACAGAAGAATACCTCTCTACCTCAACTTCCTCAGTAGAACTTTCTCTTTTAACATGTACACCCTGTTGTAACAAATTATCCAGATCACGTTTCACTATTCCCTTCCACTTTATCTCCTTGGCTCTTCTGATGCAGATAAAATAGGACTTGGATCTTTACAGTATCTGTTTGGAAGACAAGCCTACCAAATGGTGATAATTCCCTTTTTTTTTTTTCAAAAGGAGTGTTACAGAAAAAAAGGCACCTGAGATGGAAGAACACATTTCGACTATAAAACGTCCCTCTGATTGTGGATAATCTTTGGTGCCGAGACTTTGAAACACAGCATTTCTTTTCTTACAGATTTATCTGATTTGAGACTCCATACTGCCATCCCATTTC